AAGTAAGAGAAAGGTCGTTGTCTGAAGTTTGCAGAGTATTTTGTTTCTTTTTTGGTAGTTTGTCAGATATTGGCGACACAGAGCGACCACGGTTGGTGTTCTTTCTTTCAGTTTTTTTTGGCATTTTTTTTTACTGATTAGTATTTTTAATAAAAGTTTTTTACCAACAAAATTTTACTAAATATAGATTTTTAATATAAATTAATAATTTAGGCTCTTACAATAGAAAGGAAGAAAACTACCAAAAAATTTTTTTTTGCTTTATAAACTAAATATTATTTTTTTAATAAAATAAGTTCAAATTTAACATTAACTTAAAAAAATTTTTTTGGTAGTTTCCTTTCTTTCTATTACAAAAAGCCTATTTATATAAAATTATTATTCTTAATTAAAAAAATTTTCTAATATAAAATAATTTTTAAAACTAAGAATTAAAAATATATAAAATTATAACTTTAACATTTATAATCAATAAGTTATAGGTTTTTAAATTTACAAAAACTACTTGTATTTCTTATGGTAATCATTATATATTAATACAAATACTATATTTATATCATATAAAATAATACAGTATATATATTACATATAATATTATAGATTTAATAAATCACATAATAGTAAAAAATAAACTTATAAAATTATATTAAGATCTTATTAAAAATATTATAAAATTTAAAAAAAGATAAAATTATATAAAAATAAAATAAAATTAATAAAATTAAGATTTTGAATTTTATTAAATTTAAAATAAATTTAAATAATAATCTTATATATAATTATTTTTAAATAATATATTATTTAATTTTTTAAACTTTAGAAATATTACTTAATAATCTATATTAAAATTTTTATTTATAAAATTTTTGAATATAAAAAAAATTTTTTTAATAAATTAAATACTATTAAAATATTATATAAATCAGTTTAATTTAGTTTATTATTTTTAAGTTTAATTTAGTTTGATTTATGATGATCAATCAACAATTCAAGTTAAGTTAATTTAGATTATAAATCAGCTTATTTGCCTTATATAATTTGATAAAAATATTTCATAATATTCCTATTAAGAGAAATATTTCTGAAATGCTTTTATTAAAAAATATTTCTGAAATAATTTTTATTAAGAGAAATATTCTCAAATAATATTTAATAAAAATAATATTTCTAAAATAATTCTATATTTTAAAATGTTTTTCATTAAGAAAATTATTTTAAAATAATTTTTATTAAAAGAAATATTTCTAAAATGATTCCTAATGAAAGAAATATTTTTAAAATGATTTCAATTAAAAAAAAATATTACTAAATAATTTTTTCTAAAGAAAAACTTTTTAAACATAAAATATTTGACTTAAAAGTGAATTTTTTAAAGAAAGACAAGTTTTTTTTATAAGAAATTATATAGAAGTAAAATTATAAAATTTTATCTTAAAGATGAATTTCTTAAAATTATATTTTAAAAGTAAAATTCTTTAAAGAAAATGTTTAAATTAAATTATTTTAAAAAAATTATTTAATAAGTAATTTATTTAAAAAAATCACTTTATAAGTAATTTTTATAAAAAATGTGTAAAAGTAGATTTTTTTAAAAAAAATATCATTAAGTGCATTTTTTTTTAAAAAATATTATAGATGCATTTTTTAATTTCAGTATTAATTTTCTTTATAAAATATCATTAGATATATTTTTCTTCAAATAAAATATTTTTAGATCTGTGTTTCTTCAAAAAGAATATTATTGAGTGTATTTTTTTAAATTGAAATACTTTTAAACCTGTATTTTTTTAAAGAAAATACTTTTTGAAATATTTCTTTAAAGAAAATATAAGCCAATAAAGTTAGCTATATTATAAGCTAAGTTATGATGTAAGTTAACTTATTTAATTTATAACTTATAGTCTACCCTTAATATAGCAAAGCGATTATTCTATTTATAAATTTATTATAGTAAGTTAACAAAAGATTTTGAAGAATTTAATTAGTTATTTATTATAAAAAAGAAAAATTGACATATTTAATTGATTAAATATTATATGATTTGTTATATATTAAAATTTACTATATCAAGAATAAATTATATTCTAAAGTAGCTTAAACTAAGCTTAGACAAACTAGCTTTTTTAACTTATAAATAGTTTGATTTATGTTAAGCTTAATAAATATAAACTATATTAAATTCTAATTTTTTTTAAATTAGATTTAATTATAAATAAATTATTATAAATCAGTATTAATATTTTACAATTTGATTATAATCAAATTATTAGATTTTTTTTTTTAAGTTTTAATTGATCAAAATATTATTATTTTAAAAGCTTATTATTTATTATTATAAATTAATTATTAAAAAAAAAACTTATATTATATAAATTAATTAATTTAATTTTTTATTATATAATTAAGATTATTTGTTTAAATTTATTTTAAAGTTACTAAAATCTTAAAAATTTAATTTAATAACTTTTTATTAAGTTTATATATAATCTTGCTATTTTAATATAATTTTATTTTTTTTAAATTTTACTAAATTTTTATCTTTTATTATTTAAATAACTTATTAAACTTTTAGATTTTCTTAATAATTTTATTGATTTATTAATAATTTACTAATTTAATTATTTATATATAATAATATAAATATATTAAATAATATTTTAAATTTGATGAACTATTTATAAAAAATAAAAAATTTTAATATATTTTAATAATTGATGAAAGTTAAGTTTAAATTATTATAATTTAAACTATTAAATTAATTAAATTTCTTTTTTATTTTAGATTAGAATTTAATAGATATATAGGTTTGACTTTTATTAAAGTTATTAGACTAAATTTAAAAGTTTTATAAATTGTTTAAATAGTAATAAGTAAAATTTATTAAAATCTTATTAAAATTTAGCAAAATTCAGGAAAATAAAATTATATTAAATATGAAACTATATTAAAACTTTAGTAAAAAATTAGTAAAATTAAAGTTTTGATAAATTCAAAATGAGTTTAGATAAGTAACCTTAACTATTACTAATATTAGATTGAATAAAGATTTTCAAAATCCTTTAAATCTTTTAATTTAATTACTATTTTTTATTAGTAATTTTTGAATTTATTTATGTGATCTTAGTCTTTTTATTTCAATATATAAATAATATAATAGATATATTGAATATAAATAAAATATCTTTACAATTTTTTTTTAATTATTTATATCAAGTATTTATAATAATTGTTATATTTTTAATCTTTATTTTTTAGATTATTTTTTATATTTATTTATATTTTTAATTTTAATATATATAGTAAAAGAATAAGAAAAAAAGTTTTTTACAATATAAAAATTATAAAAAAAAAAAAGTTGAAAAAAAATGTAATATAATAATAATTAATAATATAAATATTTTATAGTAAAAAGAAAAAAAAAATTTTATTTTATAAGTTAAATATAGTTTTTTTTAGTAAAATAAATGTTAATTTAAAAAAAAAATTTTTAGAGTTACTCTTTTTTACTGCAAAATACTTATATAATTATTAAAAAAGTTTGTAAATTTTATAAAAAAAAATATAAATTATTGAATAAAATTTTATATAATAATTGATAATTAAATTTACTTAATTATTTAAAAATTAACAAATAAATTATAATCTAATATGAAAAATTGATATTTTAAAAGGAAAATTTATAATTTTTATAATAATTCTTTTATTATAAAAATATATTTATACTAATTAATAAATAAAAAAAATAATCAAAATTTTTTTAGAGAAAATTTTATCATAATAGTTATTGGTTAAGGAAGTAAAATATTAATTATTCTAAAAGGGTGACATAATATTTATCCCTTCTAATCAATAATTAGTTTATTATATCAATCATATAAAAAATCATGCTTTAAATTAATATTATTATAATAATAATACAGTCAACTCTTGATATAACGAACTCTTGATATAATGAATTTTTTGAACAAATATAATAAAAATACTCTTATTATAGCGAATTGGCCAATCAAATCTCTTAAAATCTTCACTATAGCCTTATAGCGAAGTTGAAATCTAGGACATAGAGTTCGTTATAACAAGAGTTAACTGTATTTGAAAAAGTATAAAAAGTCTATTATATTTGATATTTAGCTATTAGCAAAAATATTAATCCATCAAAATCAGCATGATCCTAATAGACTGACCAATAAAAAATAATTATTTAATCTTTAATATAATCAAATCCAAATATTATTATACTTTTATGTGAAAAAATTACTAATTCAAATAAAACTAAATCCTATTTTAATAATAATTTTTTATTGAGAATTGATTTAAATTTTTAAACAACTTTTTTTGTATATTATATTTACTGATTATTATTATAATTATAATGAATATAAAAATAATTGTCAAATAATATACATAGCAATTTGATATAAATATTTTAGATATTTATTAAAGTTACAAGAAAATAATTATTTTTTCAATTTATTTTTATAATAGTTTATTTAATATTTGAATTTCTTATCAAGGTATTGTTTTAATTTTAAATTATTTGTAATTTTGGAGCAATTATTATTTAAAGATGAAATCATACTAATAAATATATGATTGTTTAAAGTTTTATTTATTTAAAATTCAATTATAAAATTACTATCTAACCAATAATAAAAATGATTTAATATAAAAGCTTGAAATGATATTCTAAATATTGTTAAAGATTTTAATATCAGATCCGACAAGATGGATTATCATGAAAATTTTAATGCTAAAATTTTTGAATCTTTGAATCTAACAAATCGAGATTTTCAGAAACATACACATTTTATTATGCAAATTTGTTGATTTTTATAATCAAATGATATAGTCGATTATTTCTTTATGAGAATATATAATTTTTATATTAAAAATTACATTTTTTATAGCAGATAGGATTTGTTAATGCAAAAGAAATAATATCTTAATTATGAGATCACGTGAACAAGATTTTTTTTTGTCTCTAAATTTAAAAAAATGACCGGCGGTGTTGCCAATAATTTTGTAAATTATGCAAATGATGTGATTGGTTTATTTAACGGTTATGGGTATAATGAGGCATATAATTATTACCATAAAATATGCTGTTATTGTTATTATTATTGTTTGTATTAAAATTACTTACAATATTCCTTTCATCATTAATTGGGGAAACTACGCCTCGATTGTTATAATTTCCCATCATAATATTATTATCAATATTAGGAGAAATCGCACCTTGGTTCGAATTCCTACCATAATTCATGTTGTCTTCATTAGGAGAAATCGCACCTTGATTCGTATTCCTCCTATTATCATTTCTCACATACGAGGTACCGTCATTAGGAGAAATCGCACCAAGGTTCGTATTCCTCCTATTATCATTTCTCACATACGAGGTACCGTCATTAGGAGAAATCGCACCTTGATTCGTATTCCTCCTATTATCATTTCTCACATACGAGGTACCGTCATTAGGAGAAATCGCACCAAGGTTCGTATTCCTCCTACTATCATTTCTCACATTCGAGGTACCGTCATTAGGAGAAATCGCTTCTTGATTCGTATTACCGTGACCCGTAATTACATTTCCAAAACTTTGATTACTAAATCTATCATTTTGAGTAGCAAAACTTTCATCATTATTAAGATGTTTATTAAAAAATTTGGTTTTCTGTCTTCTCTTAAGTTGTATTAATATCCATGCGGTAACCGCAAATATAACAAAAAATCCTCCTAATACGGAAACAATGATAATAGTAGAACCGTTATTACCGTCATCTTCAGATGGAATAGGTTCCTTTTTTGAATCGTTTGTATCGTTTGAATTATTTGGTGGTGATTTTGCGGACTCGTCGGGTGTGAGTTTAATTCCAGGTGGCAAAAGAAGTTCATCGATCACGTGTAAAATTCCATTATTTAATAAAATATCGGGAGTAATTACGACTGATTTCTCGATCGCAAGCACCTTTCCTATTTTTGAAATCGGAATTGTAGATCCTTCATAACTTTTTAAATTGTCCGAAGCTCCTTCTAATAATACACCCGAAAAAACTACTCTATCTGGTACGATATGATGTCGAATTATACTTGTAAGCCGGGTTAAATTGTTGCTAGTGAGCAATTCATGATGCACTTTTGTCAACGCTTCATTTGATGGTGCAAATATTGTGGCTCCTATCAATCCGTCGAGTAAGTTTCCAAGGCCTGCTGCGACGATTAATTTTCCAAAACCATTTATGTCTTTTCTTTGACCCATTACGCTCATTGGACTTTTTGGTAGCTCGATAACTAAAATAAAATGGGATAAATTTTAACAAGGGTTGGTTCGTTAAATTTTTTTTTTTGATTGATTTACTCACTTGCGTCAACGATTTGGATGATCCCGTTACTTGCGACATTATCGGCACCAACCACCTTTCCTACATCGCCATTTCCATTGCTAATGGTAAGCGCTTCACCTTCATTATTAATGATAAGTTTTTGCTTTGCCTTTGCTGTTAACTTTACAAAGTCTGGAGAATCAACAAGTGTTGGTTCATATTGAATACCAATGAAATCAGTTGATTTCGCCTCTTTAGGAATGATATGATACTTTAACATATTATCGATAGCAACGTCACTTAATTTTCCTACTTTGGCAAATGCTTGATCTGATGGAGCAAAAATTGTATACTTCATTCCGTTACCTATCGTTTCTTCAATGATTGGAAGTTTTTTTGCCAGATCTGTTACTACAGCAAACATTTGTAATTGCACATTATTTTGTATATTTGTTAAAATATCTAATTCCATATTTTGCGTAAGGCATAAGGATAGAATCGATGAAAAAATAACAAGATGTCTTATCATTGTAATTCGAAACATCTTTTTTATCTTTTTTTTTTTTTTAATAAAAGGAGGGGGAAAAAAATGGAAGGAAATATTCATCTCTCTTTTATATACTTTAAGTGATCAATCATCGCCATAAACGGTAATGTTAGAAACACATAATTGTACAATAAAACAAGTTTACTAAAAACAAACTTCAAAACACTCCGCTCGTAAAAATTTTTTATTTTATTGTAAACATCAAAAAAAAAAAAAAAAAAAAAAGCTAAAAATCATTTTATTTATATATATTTATGATTTTATAAGCTATAGGTTAGGTTTATAGTTTTGTAATTGTTGAGAGAAATGAACTCTCCATGAAGTTGCATTTGTAATTTGTTCCATACCGTACACAGTATTATTATAGGTAGCACCGACATTGGGAGTGTAATTGATGTCTTTCGGCATTCCCCATTTTCCACCAGAAATACCTTTTTCATTATAGACAAGACCGTCAAGTTTACCATTATCCACAATAACAATACAATATCCACCATAACGCAAACTCGCGGCTCCCCCAACATCAGTTGTAGGGGTCACTTCATACGATTGAAATTCGTAGGTCGAGGTGATTTCCCCAGCCTCGGAAAATCCAATAGATATAAATTTTGTGACGGCCACTCTTTTTATCGTTATTAGGCATCGGTAGCCATATCCTCCAGCTTGAGAATGGCAAACCCGAATCGCAAAATTAACTTCGTCCGTTTCACTTTGTCCGGGATTGAAATATATATTATAGGGACCGTTGTATAATTCACTTTGATTTGTTAAGAAATAAGCCGCCAAGCCAATTGGAGGAATGTAGAGATTTTTAGCCGTATGCTGAGCATAAGAGCCCATAACGACTGAATAAGCTCCTTGACCAACCGGGAACGCTTTCACAAGTGATCCTTTAAGTGTTTCATTCACCGCTGTGATTTCTCCGTAATTAATCCTTTTTATCAGACTTTCATTAATTCCCCAATTTTGCCATGAAATCGTCGATTCCGTTTGTTTATAACACAGAAAGAGGAACCCATTTTGTCCCCTTACCGCATCATATTCGGTGCAAGATTCTTCAAACCTTATCTTTTGAAGGGGGGCTGTTATGTCATAATTTACATAGATATTACCGCATATTAGTAACACATCAGTTCCGCATTGAAAGTAGAGGAGGATAAGATTGTCAGCGAAAGTGAGAACTCCAATTCCATCCGGGACAGGTGCAGGTGATTTAGGCGTTCCCTTGGGTGTTTCCTTGGGTGTAGGCTCTTTATTCGTATCATCATTGGGCTCTTTAGGTGGCTCTTTATTCGTATCATCATTGGGCTCTTTAGGTGGCTCTTTAGGCGTATCATTATCGGGCTCTTTAGGTGGCTCTTTAGGTGTATCATTATCGGGCTCTTTAGGTGGCTCTTTAGGTGTATCATTATCGGGCTCTTTAGGTGGCTCTTTAGGTGTATCATCATCGGGCTCTTTAGGATTCTTGCCATCTTCGGTCCTTCTCGTTAAATAGTTTTCAAGTAGACGTCTACGATTGTGATTATTTTCAAATATCGATCTTTTCTTTGGTGATTGACAAAAATTGGTTGGACTGATATCTGCGATATCTTCGCCTGCTAAATTAAAGGGGGTTACTACACCTTCGGCTGAGATTGTACGGAACAAAATGGTTGCTTCATTACAACCGGTTCCTCCTAAACGGGCCAACCTAAATAAAATAGTATTGTCTGGATGCGAAGAATCAGCGTAGAGCGCTCCTAATCCTGTAGTATCTTCCTCAATGGTAACGTACGATATTTGACCAACTGTAAAGGTAGCTAGGAGAACCAAGATCAAAAATACTTGGTTCACCCAGAATCTTTCATTAACATGCATTTTTAATTAATTAATTAATTAATTAATAAATTATACATAAATTTTTTTTATCTTCAACTGGGAAATTAAAAAAATACTTTTTTTTTGACAGCTTTTTTATTATTAATTTTTTTTTTTTTTATATGTAATGTAAAAAAAAAAAAAAAATTATTCCGATGTAATAATCGGGGCAAAAATGGTCCGTTTGTCTATTTACCTTTCACATAGATTTCTTTTTGGTTAAATGAATATACAAATATATATTTTTCATTTATAGAGATATTTCTCATGAATTAAACAAAAAAAGATTGATAACAACGAAAACATTACGCAAATGAATGGATGTTGTTACTTTTTTTTTACACATCAAATTTTCCGTACAAAAAGAATTCAAGTTCTAGAATTCCATGTATAACGATAACAATGAGGATTATTTATAGCACAATATAACTCATTTAAGACCTTATCTTTTTTGTCTTGCATCCTGTAATGAAATCAAACATGTTTGTTGCTTGCATGTTTTTTTTTTTGTTGTTTTTGTTTTTTCATTTTCACTACGCAAGCAATCTCTGCCATCTTTCGCATTATGTGCGAAAAGCAGGAAATTTGGGTTATAATTCCGATAAGTTTCACCGATATAATTCGTGTTATCTAATTGATGTGTGAAAATTAAAAATTATTTATTCCTGTTTAAAGATAAATCGGGTTAATACTGTTTATGAAGATCTTTTTTTTTTAATGAAAGGCTTAAATGGTTAACATAATCAATTCTTTAATTGTTAACTCTAATTTATTCAGTAAATGAACTTTAAAGTTTGTGGCTGAACGACCATTATCTGATCCGTAAGCCTTGCATCGATTTTAGTTTTTTTTTTTTTTTTTTTTTTTTTTTTGATAAGATGACTGACTTAAAAAAGAAGTTAATGTGAATGAAAAATCAAAATTTTATAGTTTAGTTTTTCATAAGTCAGTTGATCTTTGTAAATAGTCAAATTTTCCTTCCGTGTTCAATCAGACTTTCAAACATATGTAAATTCAATTCAGTTCGGAATGTTTTCACCGACTTTAAAAAAGAACGGTTAAATTTTCACTTAGCCCAACCCAAAATGCAAGCTATAATCGGAGTCTATATTCCAACTCAGCTCCGTTAATAATGATCACGCATGGACAAGATAGTGGAATGTCATGGCAATCCAAAAAATATCATTGTATCAATGCTTTTCTTTGTTCATCAATTTTTGAACATTTTTTACTTTCATTTATTTACGATAATCTCATTGTATGGATTTAGGTTCCTTCCTTTAATAAAGATAAATCAATGATTTGATCTGAACATATGCCATATCTTCCTGAATATGTCACTTCAACTAGGATATTTAGTATAAAAGATTCGTAAATGAAACTGTTAAAACACCCTTATAAAGGTAAAAATAGATTTTGTGTCGTAAGGTTCTATTTATTTGTGTTCTATGTGCATGTTCTGTCTTTTTAATCGTGATGTCGAAGAACATGATTCATCCGCCGAACATTTATAGTATTTTGGGGTGCATCTTATACTGTTCTGGGGATATAGGCTTTTAGCTGTTCCGCAAACTGTATTTATCACGTGATAATTATTATAAAAAGATTTATTTATATAAGAATATACCCGGGTACATATAAGGATACTTTGCGCATAATTTTACTCCATTTCACCAAAAATCGGTATTTAAAAAATAAAGGCTTTTAAAACAATAGTATGCGGACATTTTCATTCTCGATTTTCGATAAATAAGTTTCGATTGATTGTAAAGATCATCCAAGTAATAAGCTTGCTTTTGAATGGAAATTTCGGCTTAAGTAGTAAGGATTTGTTTAACACGTTGAAGAAAGAACGTCCAGTTAAGTTGTACAGGCACATACATCGCAAAAACATGAGTTGTTGCAGATGGTTTCAGATGATCTAACATTTTTCGGACGTTTTCTGTATGTACCTGTACGTTTTCTGAACGTTCTTTTTTTTTTTATGGGCTGAGGGATTCGGGAACTGCTTTACAGGGAAGATACGCTAGTTGAGGTCAATTTATTTGATTCGTTTCAATAATATGAATTTGTACTTATCCTACATGTTGCGTTAGTAGTAAACTTCTGTGTATCCTTGCCCTACGAGATGTTCGCGTAATGGAATTGTCCAATATTAAAAAAGAAATATGAATGTTAATTAGTTTAATATGAAATGTAATACACAAAATTTGTTTCCAGAAAAAATTTTTAATAAATATTTTGAATTCATGAGATATACGCATCATTTATATATATATATAAAAAATAAAATAAAATAACTTTAATAATTAATGGACGCGAATTGATTAAGGGCAGGCGAGATTTCGTTTGAAACTCTCAATTATTCAAAATTGCAAAAAAAAAACAAAAAACTTCATGAAATTTTTATTTATTTATTTATTTTACATCTTTAAAGATAAATTTTTTGATAAAATTTTTCAGCCGGAATTTTGTTATCATAAAATATTCATTGAGGAATTTCCCTCCTTTTTTTTTTTTCAGATTTGGCAAATGCTATGTTAAATATTATCTTACTTGAATAACATCACACAATATTACAACGATGAAGTCATGAACTGCATGAAAAATTGCATTCGATGTCCTCACCTAACTCAAAACTAAAATGACGATCACACAGATAACAAATTTCTCCGTCTTCAAAAAAAAAAAATTATAGTGATAAATAACGGAGGATATTGATAATTTACATTTATTTGATTTAATAAAAACAGAAAATAATAAGAATAAAAATAAAATCGATGAAATATGTTTAAACCAATACTATAACATCTTAATATACAAATTTAAATTCATTGAATTTATAAAATTATAATACGGCGTCGTCTTTGTCTGTTGTAAAACCAAAATAAACCAACACCAACCAACAAAATAAACAATAATTTAACTCCGTCAGTACCATGTGTCGTTACTGTCGATATTGAGGGCTTTGAAATTGAAAGCGTTGTTTTTGTAAATTCTAAATTTTCTGGGGTGTAATTTTCTTTCCATGTGTACGTGTTTGTATCTAAAAAAAAAAAGGAACAAAGTAAAACTTATTTAATGTCAAATTTCAACCTAAAATCAAAACCAAAACCAAATGAAAGATGTATACCAAGGACATATATATTATTATCTGCAATATTATCTGCCAAATACCCTAATAAAATTTTTCATAAATGTAAGTATCACGTAACTATACAAGCACGTATCTTGTTTTCAATGAATATATACCAAATGCAATCAACATATTAGTTCCAATGATCGTAGCCGTATGCGAATATCTTGCTGGTGGTATGACGCCGTTTGCCTTATAAACTTTCCAAGTATAAGGTTGTTTGGTTGTATCCAAAATTGCAATATCATCAAATATTCTAGTAAAATCTTGGTTAACACCGCCGTATATTATCACTTTACCGTCATGCGCTACAAATTAAAAAATTATTTCATTTAAAATGTTAAGTTAAATATGTTAAATAAATGTTAACCAGTTGTAATCACTTTTGCAACTTACTTCCTACTGCGGTATGATCTCTGCGTGCCAAAGGTAAAGTACCAACTGCGGTCTGGATATCACATTTAAAATATTTATAAATATAAATATATATTTTTTTAAAAAAAAAATAAATTTATATTTAAAAAAGATCCTTCTTTAAACAAACCTGAACACTCCATTTTTCTTCTATCGTATCATAAACGTAAATTTCATTCATGTCTGCTAACTTGTCTACAGAATACCCTCCAATTACATACATCCTTTCATCAGAAAGAATTGTAGCAGTATGATGAAATCTTCCTGGCGGTGTATTTGGACCCACATTCATGATATTCCAGTGATTTCCCCTAGTATCCACTTTAAATAAATCCCGGAGTTGAGATTTTGCTGAAACCTTTGGGTCAGGTGTATTAATGCCACCAAAAAAATAATTCATAGAATCATTTAATCTTGTAACTACCGTATGTTCTCTTGTATGGACCACAGGTGTATTCCTGCATAAATCCATGACGGAGATTCTTCCGAAGTATTGTAGTAAAATAATGGATTCGCTGGTATAGGTACATCATTATTATATTCCCCTCCATATAATACTAAAAGTTCATTTTGTGTTCCACCTAAACTGATTGTATGATAAGCAACTCGAGGGCCTACCAAACGTAAAGTCCACGCAGGGTCTTTTATTGTGAAAGGTACTGATGCATCGAGGATAAGAAGTTGGTTTGAATTCTGACTTGTATCCATAGGATCCTCTTTCGAACTTGTTCCCACTTTTCCGCCATAAATATATAATCTATAGTAAATTTATTTAACTCTCTGTTAAATTTCTAATGGTACAGTAATCATTTTACAAAATGAATATGTTCATTACATAATACCTACTTGTCATTCAAGAGCACGGCGCTATGACCCCATCTAGGTTTTGGCTTCTCATTAGGTACCAAAACGAAAGCTAACGACACCGTAACTAGTGTTAGAAAACTGATAACCTTAAACATTAAC